TACCTTTCTAGTGTGTGTGTGTGTATATATATATATATATATGTGTGTGTGTGTGTGTGTGCGCACGCACGTGTATGTGTGGGAGGGGGGAGGGTGGTCCTGACTTGACTGATTTTAAAAAAAAAATTACAAAAATAACCCAAAAATTTATATTTTTCAAAAAGAAACTATCTATCTCTCTCAGTTTTCCCCGAAAGGAGAAAGGACCCACAGATATAAATGTGGGACCCACCAGAATATTGAAAACTTGTCGTTGATAGAACCTCTTGGCCAGTTTCACGAAATGATGGGGAATCCTAAATAGCCCACACGGACACCGTTTTGTATTAGATGTTATATAATATAAGTTACACTTTGAACCTTAAAAAGTTCTAGTATTTATAATTTATTTCCCTTTTTTTTCATTTTTTATTTTCCGTCCTTATCATATTAATTAATTGATTAACTATTAACTGAAATATATTAAAAATAAGTATTTTTGTAATGACACCGTTAAACAAATCTCGTCGATACCTTTAATAGGAGTCAAATATTGAATCATTTTAAGTAATAATATTTTTAACGTTAAAATATTTTTACTTTCAAAAATCTCTATTTAATGTTCTTAGCATTTTCAAAAGAAATAGTTAAGCCATGTTTGGAAAAAAATCAGATAACTTATTTTTTGAGTTTATTAAGGGTGCGTTTGGTACGCTGGACAGAGTGGGACAGGACAGGACAGAACACATTTGTCCTACGTTTGGTGTGGCTAAATGTGGAACTAAGTGGAACTAAGTTGGACAAGCATGGGACACATCTGTTCCACCATTACCCCTGGAACTAAGTGGAACAGAAACATTTTTACCACACTATCCCTTCCCCCTTTCTTCCCCACATCGCACCCTCCATCTCCTTCTCCATCTCCTGGACACGCGTGTTCCACCATCTCCTTCTCCATCTCGACGGCGACGGAAGTTCCCTTCTTGACGGCTCCATCCCTTCTCCTCCCCATCGACGCCCCTGCACCTGCACCTGCAGAAATCGGCGCCCCTGCACCTGCACCTGCAGAAATCGGCGCCCCTGCACCTGCCAAAGTCCGCCTCCATCGCTTCTCCTCCCCCATTGAAGGCGACATCCCTCTCTCCATACTCAGGTACATGATTGCTTCATCTCGATTTTGTTGCTAATCGGCTGTTTGCTTGAACCCGAAATCGATTGCTTGAACCGATTTCTTGTTTGCTTGAACCCTAAATTGGCCTTTTCTTAGTTTGAGGAACCCAAACGCACCCTCTGTATTGTTGCTTCCATCTGGTTTKGTTCTAACAGACCCACAAATATTTAATACCAACACTGGTTGTTGAATGGCTCATGAATCCAAATAGGCAGCAAATATAAGGAAATCTCKCACATTGTTAAGAAAGATTGAGTTATCATGTGTAAACAATTTGGTTCTAACAGTCCCACAAAAGATTGAGTTATCATGTTAAGAAATGCTTACTGTTTTATGTAGAATAGATGCGTATTGATGAATATAGTTGGAACATTTATATTGATTATTTAGTGAAAAAAAAACACTAAACAGCTCATTGGGGGTAAATTGGTCATTTTAACCAGTTCTGTCCTGTCCTGTTATGTCTTACCAAACGCTGAACAGCTGTCCTGTCCTGTCCTGCCCCGTCCTGTCCCGTCCTGTCCTGTCCTATCCTGTCTGCGCACCAAACGCACCCTAAAAGCCCTATCTGGTAAGCTATAAACTACTCTACGACAATGGTTCGCCTTCATACAACTTTCATCTTACACTGCTATTCACAGAAGCCACCATCATCATTACATTCCTTTGTATCTAAGTCATCTCCACAACCTACAAGTCTTTTATATAAGGGTGCACACAAAACCAAACAACCCGACCTTACCCAATCTAAAAAAATCCAAGCCAAGGTAATCTACGACCTAATTGATTCAATATACCATAAACTCGTGACTATTAGGTTGGGTTATTCAAACGCCTTCAAACCGGATAACCTAACCCGAATAGATTGTAACTCACAATCCCCATGATAAAGGCTCAACTGGGTAACAACGCTCATCTACAATACCCTTTTAGGATGTTATCCCTTGTCTGTGATCAAAGACTCTTGCTGACGAGGTTTGCTTCCATAAAAATCCTCATCCCGGATGGGATGAAGGGTTGGCCAAGTATGAGAAAAAGAAGGTTGGCCCTGATGATATTGTTGATAAAGAGGATGGAGCCTGAAATAGAATAGTTTATGGTGTCAGCGACATAAAAACTTTGTTTCCTCATTCTTTTAATTTGCCAAAAAAAAAATCCTCAACCTTACGTAGTTTTTTGTAACCACGTTACAAACAAACTAAGAGAGGTTGGAGCTTTTATGAGGCATATTAGAATGACTAGGAAATAAAGGTTCTGAATTGCTGACACCATCAACCATTATGTCTCTGGCTCCAGCCCGTTTATCAACAATATCATCGGAGCCAACCTTCTTTTTCCCGTAATTGGCCAACCCATCAGCCAGTCGAAATGTACCTTTTCCTAATGAAAAAGAATATCCCAAAACCCACCCTTTCAGGGTAAAACCAAATATTGAACACACCCAAAGTGGTGATAAACTCAATATCCTAATACCAATGACGTGAATAAAACTCTACATTTCCTACACACCTTTCAGTAACGGGGGAACCTGTTGTTTTTGAATGTGGCAGAAACAAAAAAAGTTAGCCACTTATCAATATTATCGAGTTTCACATAGGATCATGGGTCCCTGTATACGACTCTTTTAAGTTCCACCTTCTTAAAATGATTTTTGTTCCTTGTCGATCTCAAGATGAGTTTCACCCTAGAAGTTAATGGTCTTAGTATATGATTCTATTGAGTACCACCATAAGACCTAAGCCCCGTATATGACTCAATCGAGTACCACCCCAAACTCCAAACACAGACTTGGTGACTACTCTCCAGAATTAAGTGAGGACATCAAAACTCCACACTTAAACACAAATATGCAATAAATTCAAACCTCGTTCAAATATCCATATTGAACACTTTTAGTTGGGCAAGCTGCCAAAACTCCATTAAACAAGGTTTAGTTCCGCAAAGTCCACGACGCAGAGGATTAACCCACGACATAAACATTTATGCGAGTCATAACTCATGGTTATGAATACGGTTCATAAACCTTCCTTTATTGAAATAAAATAACGAAAGATCGAAACGCACATGGTTTGATTTCCAAGAGGTCCACAACATCAATAGTAGGCATTTCTTTGACACTTATGAATTATTGCGTAAAATGTTCAAAGTAAATCAAATGGTAATCATAAGTTGTGCAAAGTTTCAAATCAGACGTTTGATTCAAATCCAGATCAAACGTCTCCTCAACTTGTTTGACTAATTTAATAGAAGTCACATTAAGTTCACAAATGCCTTACCAAAGAGTTTATACAATTTCATGACCCAATGTATGATAACATCCAATAAAATCTCATTTTATGTAACAAATTATTCTAAGAGTAAAATATTATTATATATGTCTCCAAAATACTCGATAAACTCAAAATAAACATTCCTTATTTATTTATGAAACCAAATGCACCAATTATGCAACCATGACAACCAACCAACTTCGATTTGTAATAAAATGTAAGGAATACTCTAAATACTCAAATAAGGACATCTTTTACATGTATAAATTTTCTCAAAGCAACTAGAACTCACTTATGTTGAATCTTGTTAGATCTAGAATCCAGCCCCAAATCTTGAGCTTTTTTTTATGAAGAACCACTTCTGCTCTCTAAATCATACATCTATTACTCAAAAGCTCAAATGATGTACCCCACAATCACCTCTAGATGAGAGAAAGTGAAGGGGGGAGGGGGGTGTGAAAGAGAAATGAGCAAACCCTACA